CCTCAAACAGTTCACCTGGCTTGATAAAATTTTTGCATTATTAGGAATTATTGTAGCACCAACTAGAGGAGTGCCATGTTTATGAAAGCAAGATTGGCACTCTCTTTGCCAGTGGTACCCTTTTAGACACTGAGGGTGCAAAGAGCTAGGCCTGTTTGGATTTCTGCTTTGAGTGGGGCCAGAAGCATTAACATTTATAGCACCTCGTGTTCTGTTAGGAGATTTTTTACTGAAATATCCAGGACTGCCACATAAATAACATTTGCAGATCAAGCCTGTCTGATTAGATTTTCTTTTCCTTGATTAGTTAGAAATTGAATGGAAGTTTGGCCATGTAAGGCTGCTGCAATGGCCACACCTTGAAGATATGCAGGAGTAACCTCAGTACATGTTTTAATAAAGTCAGAAATATTTCTGGAGTTTTAAATTGGTTTTAGAAGAGATTGACAAGTGAGTGTAGCGTTCTCAAAAGCCAGTTGTTTTAAAATAATATCTTTTGCCTCAGAGCTAAGAACCATCCTTTCTACTGCCTCTGTTATCTGAGCTACGAATTCCTCAAAAGGTTTTTCTGGTTTCTGCTTTATATAGCAAGCCTTTTAGTATTTGTATCTCTATTAGGCAAGCATCTCCATGCTTCTAGAACTGCAGCTGATATATTTACTAGAGCTTCCTTTTTCATTTTTTGTTTTTTTAAAGCATTCCCCCATACCCTCTTTTTGAGCCAAGTTCTTATATATATTCATCCACAATAAAAATTCGTCTTTAGTTAGATATGCTCTGGCTATTTTAAACCAATCATGAGGAGTCATAAACAATTTAAATACCAAAGGTTACCATAAGTGTACATTTTCCTCTTTGTTATTCTTCATATTCGCTGGGAAACAGCCTAACAGTTTATCCTGTTGTTGAGTTTGGAGTATACCAGCAGTAAATCTGATAGGCCCTTTTAGGATCATCATTAAGACATAAGAAGTCATATATTTGTCTATATAGCATCTCTACAAGACAGTATATCTTTGTAGATATGCTCCAAAGGGGTGGGCTAAAACCTACTGTTGTATATGTTCAATAATAACAGGAAAAGCATATTAATAGCAGGAATCGTTCCTAAAATAAATTCTTTTATGGCAGCCTTGCCTCATAAGAATGAATCTGTTATATATTATATTATAATCCGAAGCAGACCATCTCAGGACAATCACCTACTAGTTATTAGCATGTCCTATTATTGCTCCTGAAAATCCTGCTGTAATGATTTTACCTGTTTTTATTATAATTATTTTATGGGTATGAAGTAATCTTTTTTTCTTATGTAGAGATCATTGTCCTAGAAAATATAAACAGGACTCCAGGAAAGTTGTAGGCACCAGCTCCTTGGAACTCTTGTCCATCCACCAAACATTTATAAATGTGTATAGGCAAGTTTGTGGTTGTTGGAGTTTCTCTCCATCCACCAACTGTGTATACATGTGTGTATATATATATATATGTCTATGTCTATACATGCATATGTATGTATGTATGAATGAATGTATGTGTGCATGTATGTGTATGGGTGAAATTGTTGGAGCTTGCTTGTTTGAACTTGCTGAGTGCAGCCCCTTTCTGTTTCATCCAGTGTGTGTGTGTGTGTGTGTGTGTGTGTGTGTGTATGTATCCCTGACTTTGTTTCTTTTCCTTTCCCTCCAGTTCGCAAAGAGTTAATGAGTTCTGAGCTCTGACTGATCATTTCATTTTTTTCTATTAAATGTGCTTTAGCTTCAATATTTCTCCAATAAAGGTCCATGCTGAATGACTTATTCCTTAAAAATATGTGTTGAAGATATGGAGGAGGCTTAGGGGAGGTCTTCATATCATTGAGGGAATTCCATCTAATTGATATTCCCATCTCTTCATTTTCTACTTTATGTTTCCTAGACATGAGCTGATTTGCCTGGCTTTGCTACTATTCCTGCCATAATGTGCTTCCTCTCCAAAGATCCAAAGTCAATGTGTTAAGCCATATCCTGCAAAACTTCAGGTCAAAACCCCCTTTTATTTTCATAAGGTTGTTTTAATTATTTTGTTTGTTTGAGTAATGGAAAGTCAAGTCACATAAAGCTATTATACTAAGATTCCTTGGGATGAAGGATAGGATTTTGTATCCAAATTGGTGTCAAAACTTTTCTTCTATTTCATTGATATTATTATGAATGTTTATGTATATTATTCAGAATGCAAAAGCTATGGATACATGTCCATGTTTCCAGCTATGTAAAGGTTTTCCTTCTGAGGAATATGCTTCATAACCATATGCACCTCTTATGACATATAGTTCATGTTTTCATTTTGTGTCACCACAAAACAAGGAGCATATGTATACATTTGGTTCATCTCCTGAGTTCTGTCTAATGTTTGGCTGTGGGTCTCTGCATCTGTTTCAGTGAGCTGCTCAGTGGATCCTCTCAGAGGACAGTTATGCTAAACTCCTGTCTGTAAATCAAGGTTGACAGATGCAATCATCACCTGAGGATCCAAGGTATTTGAAAGTAGCCTTGCAATGTGTCCTTATAGATCCTCTGAGAACAGCTCCCCACATTCCTCCCAAATTGGCAGGGGTTGCTACTACATTTATGTCCATTTCACACAGGACACCTGCTCATCCAATCCAGCAGTGACAAATATGTCTCAACAGTGCCTTCACATGTTCTATTGTTGTCACAAGGCTTTGACCAACAAAGTGACATCAAAGTCTCACTCCTGTGTAGTCACAGTAGTAGAGTAATTTTTGAAGATGTAACCTGAATTGAAAAAACTTCCTTACAAGATTGACCTACAGGCAAGTCTCTGGTGCATTTCTTGATTGCTGATTGATGTGGGAGGGCCAGGTCATTGTGGACATTGTCACCCCTGATATCAGCACTCTTTTGTCATGAAATACTCACCTTTTCAAACCAGTTCTCAAACATAGTTTCTAGATCCATGAAAAAATTTTGATTTAAAGAAGAAAATAGAAGACCATTCCAGAGAACAACTGGTCATGAAGCAGAGATCAAGATATCACGGAGACCAGCTCCAAAGGGTGAATCTGTACACAGTTTCTGCACACAAGGCTCAAAGGAACAAGAAGGGGTAACAAAAAAGATAGTAAATGCTTGGAGACAAGGAAATCTGCTATGAGAGGCTGACTCTCAGAAATGACAGAAAACTACACCCATGATACCTAAACAAGACCTGAATAATAACCATAACTATGTTAACACAGATGGGGGAACCTCACAGGGTCCTACCTCTAGACAAAATCTAATGGCAGTTACTGACTACTGAAAGGGAGAATTAGCCTCTTCTGTAAATGGGCCCTTTTAATTAGTTATCTAAAACAAAGGGATCAGCACTGAAACTGTATACACACAAGTCATACCAAACAGACACAGAGCAGTTGTACTTCTGTGTGTGTTTATTTGTGTGTGTGTGTGAGTGAGGGTGTGTGAGTATAAACAATAATAAAGAAAAGCAGTCATGAATTTGAAAAGGGATTGGGGGTGCTGGTGTATGGAATGGCTGGGAGCTAAGGGACAAAAGAGAGGTTGGTGGAAGGAAAGAGAAAGGGAAAAGTGATATAACTATTTTAATTTAAAATTTGTTAATAAAAATAAATAATGAGAAAAAGAAATAAATCAGGCTGAGCAAGCAATGAGGAAAAAGCCAGTTAGTAGCATTTCTCCACAGCCTCAGCATTAGTTCCTGTCTCCATCTTTCTCTCCTAGCTTCCCTGGATGATGGACTATGAACTGTAACCCTAAGACAGATGGGCTTAAAATTTTATAGTTATATACCAAGATCATTATTCACAAAAGCATGACTTTAATATGGCAGCTCTCTATTTCTTTTTTGCATAACCTGATGGCCAGAGCAATTGCCAACACCCTTGCATTGAAAAAAGTACAAATAAATGGTCAAATAGCACAAGTTACTTCTTTGAAGTGACTGTTGTTATCTTCTTTACTCAAATTGATAGACTTTTATCAATTCATGGTGGGGTTGCCATCCAAGAGCAAAGCAGTTTTTGCAAGTGAGGGAGAAACACCCACAGAACAGTATACAAGTGGTAAGATGGAGTAAAACATTTGTTTGTGTATATCTCCTAAGTAGCTATTTTCACATTTTTAGTGGTATCTTGTATGAATCATTTCCATTACATTATAGAGATTTTCTAAGTACTGTCCTCCTCATTAGAGTACATCTCTGACGTGGCCTTGTGACATTATAGACATTTCAAGTTTCAAGATTATTTTTTATCCTTTAGTCATAGAGGAAAATACATTCAGGACGTTATAATGAATCACTTAGATTAAGCACCTGATATATAATAAAATTTGTTTCTCACACATCTTGAGATTGAGAAATTTAAAATAAGAAATGACAGATTTGGTGTCTATTGAGAGCCAATTTCCTGGCTCACAGATGGTACTTTTCTACTATGGTCTCCTTTGTAGCAGAGACAAAAAAGCTCCCTAAGGTCTTCTGTTTCTATAAGAAGCTCTATTCCTGAGGGCACCATTAGAAATCAACCTAATTGCTTCCCAATTCCTCACTTTCTAATAAAATCACACTGTTTATAACATTTTAACATAGAAATCATGAGGACAAAAGTATTCACATCACAGGAGACTATTTCAGTCAGTATGTAGTAACAAGATCAATATACATTCTATCATGTGTACAATTAGTGTAGCATTTATAGATGCAGGTATAATATATGTATATATGGACTAAACTTCTATAAATGAACTATTTCATAACTTTTAGTAAACAATTCATGAGTTGATATTTGAATGGTTGAATTGACCTAAAGAAATGTAAACATTAAACTGAAGTGAAAAAATATATCATATAAAAGAGAGAAGTATGAGGATAACAAATGAGATATCATACAAGTTTCAGCTAAAAGTTTTCACAGTAAAATTTTGATCAAAAATAGAAGAATAAACTGGATAAAAATTCTATGTGATTAAGGGATGGAATTTCTTTAACCCACTGCTTTACTTTTGTCATCTCAGAATACTAAAACACAGGAACTTATCACTTAAAAAGAGTATTGCCCCAAGTGTTCTTAAGGCCTTCTTAATGTCTTTGTTCCTCAAGCTGTAGATGAAAGGGTTCAGCATGGGGGTGACCACTGTATACATTACTGAGGCCACCATGCCCTTCCAAGAAGAGGAAGTTGCATTGGAACTAAGGTACACACCAAAGCCTGTCCCATAGAATAAAGAGACCACTGAGAGATGAGACCCACAGGTAGAAAATGCTTTATATTTTCCCCCTGTTGATGGAATTCTCAAAATAGAGGAAACAATTTTGGAATAGGAATAAAGGATCCCTGAGAAAGGAACAAAGCCAAGGACACATATCAGTATATAAAGAATAATATTATTGATTAGTGTATCTGAGCAGGCTATAGTGAGGGCTTGAGCATGTTCACAGTAAAAGTGTTTGATTATCTGATTGGTACAAAAGGACAGGCGTAGCATCAACAGACTCTGGATCAGAGAATATGAAAAGCTAATGAACCAGGACACAAGAACTAGCAAGCCACTTAGTTGGGGATTCATAATGACTTGATAGTGAAGGGGGTGACAGATGGCCACAAATCGGTCATAGGCCATCACGGTGAGGAGAAATGTGTCCATGCCTCCAAAGACCATAACAAAGTACATCTGGGTGATGCATTCTGCATAGGTGATGGACTTGCTCTGTGTTTGGATGTTCACCAACATCTTAGGGATAGTCGTAGAGATGAAGCCAATGTCAGAAAAGGACAGATTAGATAGGAAGAAGTACATGGGAGTATGCAGGTGAGAGTCAATGCTGACGGCCAGAATGATGAGCAGATTCCCAAGCACAGCGACCACAAACATGAGCAGAAACAGCCCAAATAGCATGGGTTGATGCTCTGGATCTTGGGAAAACCCCAGAAGTAAAAATTCTAAAATATTTGTCTGGTTTTGAGGTTTCATGTTGTTGACGAATAAGCTAGACACCTATGGGAGAGAAAGATTGGGAAACATACACCTCAGTCTCTAAGGTTTCTGTCCTTTTATTTATTGAGATAACTGGACATAAAGGTTTTATAACTATAAAACTTAGGAGTACAAATTTTTCTCATTCATTAAAAAGACTGCCTCATAATATAAACATTTTTTTTGGTAGACTTGTCTTTTTGTTCTTATCTCTACTTAGAACTACTAACTCTACAAATTTTAAACCATGTGAAGACCAGAAAATCTCTTAAAGTATTTAGATCAAAGCAATTTCTAAAAGTGCTGTGAATCCTTTCTCTATGATGGATTCACTCTGATTCCCAATCTCACTTCTCAATATTTTTCAGTGGTTACACTAAACTGATTACTCACAAAGGCTTCTGTTTGTGAACATGATCATACCTTCATTGTATCCATGCCTTTCGAAATCTCTTTCTTCTTTTAGACTCCTTTATCTTCTTAATTTCTGCCTGTTTTGTGTATGTAATACATTTCTTTGCTGTCTTGTTAATTCCCATTCCTACCATGTCTCAAAACTAGGTGATTATTTGACATAGAGGATGATTTCCACACTGTTTTGACTGCTGAATTAATGAAATAAAGAACATATGAACAATTTACTTTCCACTTCTGTAGCATTTTTACTACAATCTTGGCATCTGTCCAAAACCTTCAGCAACTCTAGCTCTAAAGAAAACTACTATAGAGAGACAAGATAAGTAAGACAGGAGGAAGGTATAGAAAAAGTGTGTCCACTAATTACCCTGGCCCTTCAATCAATTCTAGTTCATTCATTTCCAGCACATATACCTACATGTCCCAACAAGTTATCCTATTTTCTCCAACATTAATATTTTTATGAAATCTTATCATGCATCCTCCCCTACAGAAGAATCAACAAAAATCATTTCCTGAGTTATCACCACATAGTTTAATACAGAGGCAACTGGAAGAATAAATACAGAACTTGAATGTTAGAAGACATTTACAAGAACTGACAGTGATGGCTATGTTTTGAATATTAAAAAAACTTCTAAAGTTCCATCTTTGAAAATACTCAATATTAATTTTCTTCATTTTCATTTGCATATACAATGACCAAATACCCTCCATCTCTGAGTAAAAATCATCTTTTTAAGTATGATTAAGGTAAGAAGATATTCAGTCAGTATCACGTTTTGTTTCCTGGATAATCAAATATTGATTCTTTCAACCAAAGTTTAAGATCAAAATAATGAACATGTTTAGTGGTAAGTGTAATATACTTGGCAAAGAGGAAGCAGAAAGAATGAACTTTAATTTCAAAGTTAAAGCAGAGGGACTAAATGCTACAGGCTTTGTTTAGAGGTACCCAGAAGTCACATGGACTAGCTCATTGCTTGTATGCTTGCTCAGTGTCTGTAACATTCTGGATTTCATCTAAGAACCACAAAGAAGTGTTCACTGTTGTGGTAGCCTATGTCATGAATTCCTACCTATAGTAAGAACAACAACCAACTTGTTATTTAAAAGAATTGTGACATTAAAAATAACATCCTCTTAAGTAGCTCCATATAAGAAACAATCTACTTAAAAAAAAAAAGAAACAATCTACTTGTGCTGCTCCTAGTGTCTGGTATTGTTGGGCAAAATTGTTGAGTTATATCAGTAAGTACCAAAGACTTGAGTTAGGCTTTTATTGGTTCTTTAAAATTTCATGGAAGCTCTTTAAGAAAAGTTTCCTTGGTCAGGCGTGTTTCTGACGTTGGGAAAATAAAGATGCAGTTTTGTTTTTGCACTCACATTTCCACCTCCCAGAAGTAGAGAAGGATGTAGGAAGTGGCAGTTATAATACTGAATAATTAAACACTAGGATAAAGTTTATTTGCTGAATGGGTTCAGAGGGCATCTTTGAATGCAGTCTGGGTTGGTGAAGCAGGGGTATCTGACAAAATAATTACCTAGTTGGAGGTATGCAAATTAGGACTTTTAGCAGGGAAAATTAAAGGCTCAGATGCAAGAATCAACCAAGGGAGAAAGTGTTCCTAGCAAAATTGTTTAAATGTGCAGTGGTGAAAAGAATGGTGTAGAATGTCATGACAGAAATAGTCCAGGACAGCTCCCCAGATGCATAGAGATAAACATAGAGAGGTAGTGAAGGATGGGTGATACTCAAGGCTGTGCACTGATTATATTGAAAAATATTATGCTATAAATTATAAGATGGATTGGAACCTACAATAGATTTAGAACAGAGAAAACTAAGGATAGAGGCTCAGCAATATGAAATTTCAACAATCGATTAATGGGACCTCATAAAATAGCAACGCTTCTGTAAGGCAACAGACATTGTCAATAGGAAATTTTCACATATCTGAACTGAAAGCAGAAACTCAAACTTTCTGTAATAGAAAATAAGTAATAAGGGCTGGTACAAGTAGAAAAATGATGTCAGTATTTTGGTAAGACAGTCTGATTGAGGATGAGACCTAATCAAGTGAATAAAGAAAAATAATGAAGGCAATGATTCTCTAATGTTTCCAAATCTACATGTTTGAAGTGGAGAGGACTTAGTGGTAGACTTCTGCTTTTCTCCCATTTTTCTTCTTTCACCCAATTATTCCAGTACTTATGCAAAAGGACTTTGTAGTGTCTCTTCTAAAATCTGTATATTCCTTTTTCTCAACAGGGTAATTAAGTAATTAATTAACAGGGTAATTGCCTGCTTCTCAGCACAGTTCTCGTCATTGCTATGTGCCTGATCCTCCTCTGCTTTGACATGTATACAAAGACTCTCTACAAGTATTTACTGCATACAATAGGGGGTAACACTTGAAGGTATTTTGTGAATTCTGCTTATTTGAGAAATGATTAATAAAATCCTTGTCCATCATCCTTCCCTAGCAGGGAAGGTACCACGATTGAAAACATGAGTAACCATGGTACTCCAGATGTTCTGACCTCTGAGATTTTCCCAAATGTGGAAAACTCAACTGAATAATGGCTTAATTTTTGCTAGTGGGGGTACTGTCTGCATCTGCTGTTAAATTAAAAAAAAATATAAACATCTTGGTCTCTAAATCTGTTCTTAGCTTCACACTGTACACCAGAGACAAGAATATGCTGTAAATAGATAAATTTAGGTTTTAGAAACTAATTTCTTTGATAAAAGTAAGCAGACTCTTTTTGAAGAGAAATTCTAGAAAGCACAACATACAAAAAGAAACTAGGTACAGAAAAGGAGACTGGTCTATCAGAGGAAGCCTGAGATAGTCCCAAACAAGTGAGTTTTAAAGAAAAGCCACAAATGCTTGTTCTAGGCTGAGAGGAAATGGAAGATCTGGATTTCTTGATTGAGATCATAAGATAAAAGAAGTAGAGGAGAACTACTTCACTGTAAACTATAACACCAGACTCTACCATGTACAAATTGTAGGGATATCAATGTCACTCAAGTGTTTGGTTCAGGAGTACCAAAGTGCCATGGTGTAACCTCCAAAAAACCCTATATTGTCTCCTCTGTAATCTACCATCAATAATGTATATCCAAAGTAAATGGTCCCCATGAAAATGTAACTTGACACAGACAACCTAGTGACTCTACCTTTTCAGATATTATTCATAAGAGCAACCTCTACCTGAAATAACAGGGTTTCCCCTTATCTATGCTGAATAGTTAATACTCTTCCTACCAACTACTTCATTCTCTGTTTCCTTCAATGTCTGTTGGACTGTATAGGCTTGGCAATATATACTCACCATGGGCCAACTCCTTTGGAATTTATTTGCTCAAGGAACATTGGTTGTGAAAGATAGAAGGTCTGTCCACAAGAAAAAGGTGAAAGAACTAATCATGTAGGGAGGAACCTGGATGATTTCTTCTGGGAAAGGCATGAGGTATGTTCAGAGTTGGTAACTATAAGAGTTATAGGTGTGTCCTGGGAGTTGTATCCCTCTGAAGCTTATTACACAAATTAATCAATGGTATGCTCATTCTCTGCTCCTCAAGGACAGAGACTACACAGAAAAGAGGCTCTAACATCTCAATTTCTTAACCCTTGGAGAAAATCAGTGGATATATCTATAATTACTCTCTTATATGTTTCTTCTCTGATAAAGAGTCAGCAAAAATTTCCAAGATCACCTACTGGTGATACATGTTAAAACTTTCTGTCTTATACTTTTCTACTCAGGTTGTTTTCTACTCAGGAATCTCAGTATTCAGGATGTTTGGAAGTCTCAGAAATAAGCTCGATGCTGGTTTCTTTGTGGATATGTGAAGGTGTAGTATATCTGGGTCACAGAGAAGACATACTTATATATTTTTGTAGATTTTTTTGAGCATCTGTCTCACTGATTTCTAAAGTGGCCGCACCAGTTTGCTTTCTCTTCAACAATGAATACAGACTCTCTTTTTCCCACCACCTCACCAGCATTTGTTGTCAGTTGTTTTGTTCATTTTAGCCATTCTGATTTGGGTGAGAAAAAAATGTAACAGATTTTTTTTTTTAATTTGCCTTTCCCTAGTTGCTAAGGATATGGTATTTCTTAGTCATCTTGATTTCTTCTGTGAGAACTCTCTCTTTATACTACTAGCCCAGTTTTAGTAGGGTCATTTGTTTCTTTGACTTTTATTACTATTATTTTTTTTAGTTCTTTATACATTCTGGATATTTATCATCTGTCAAGTGTATATCTGGCATAGATTTGGTCCTATTCTGAGGGATTTTTTTTTACTATATTGACAAGGGCCAGCTCGAGTGATGATGGCCAGGTCCCACAGTGGAGGTAAAGAGTCAGTGAGGAAGAAGAGAGTCAGATAATGTGGTTGCAGGACTCTTGCAGCCTGGCTGACTGTCAGAGTGCTTCTTTATTTATACAGAACTCAGTAAACAGGAATAAATTCATGTTGTTCCAATATATATGGAACAACATGTCCCTGGATATGTGTTTTAACTTCCTCCTGGTCAGAAGTTTAATCATCATTGATAAACTGTCCGAATTGAGTTATCTTTTTACAACCATTTCCCCTCACAAAACCCCATAATGCAACTTTTAAGAATCTTGTGATTTCAAGGTCACCAGATAGAAATAAAATCTCCACGCCAGCCTGGGCAGAGTGTAATGTTCCCAG